TAAAAAAGATGACCGGTAAGGGGATCTTAACCCTTGACTTGGTGTTGTCAGCACCACGGTCACCCAGTGAGCAACCAGCCATCCCTATATGGGATCCGAACCCGTGGCCTTGGTGTTATCAGCACCACACTCTCCCGAGTGAGCCACGGGCCAGCCCAAGCCTAACACAATTCTAATGAAAAGGACCAGAGTGACCTTCACTGTTGACCAAGACACACAGAATGTTTCTTTAGCCAGTCCAGGGCAAAACTGATAATGTGACAATGGCTATCGGTATGGGCGTTCTCACTGTTCTTGAGTTCCCTCTAAATCTAGGGTATGATGGCAGTAAAAATGTAAAATGGACCGAGAGAAGGGCATTCTTCAAATTGAAATGCTTTTATTAGAATACTAATAAATGCAGATAAAAAAACACACACACCCAGAAAAAAAGAGAAACACTCAGAAATGCTATTATAGATTAGGCAAATTAGAGGAAAAAGAGTTCTTCAGTGTATTCAAAATGTAAACATTTGCCCTGGGATTTCCCACAGATGGCACAGTCCACAAGGACTTATTTGGAACAAAAATATGTCTATTGAGTCTCCAGTATGGCCTCTACAACGTCTGCAAACTTGCCACATTGAAAGTTAAGTTCCCATCACACCCAAAAACTTCTATGCAAAAAACTAAATGGCTCCCAATCAAGGCAACTAGAACATCAAATGGTACGTGTGGAAGCAGAATACCAAAGTGAATCAATCTTCCAGTGATCAGCCTCCGCTCACTCTGCTAACTGTATTTACATTTACCTTGACAGAGATTACAAAAATATACACAGTATATAAAACCCCTACACTTCAGTCTGGGGTGGGAGATGAAATACTTCTTGCTTATCAAATGCTCCAGGGAGAGGCCTTAAATCAGTCCCTTGAACTAAGGAAGTGAGGACTAAGAAGAGGCCCTCTTCTCTTCAGAAAACGGGGACTCATAAACTTCCATGGGTGGGCAGGTACAGGTCAGGTGCTGATCTCCATATATGTCATCAATCCGGGCAATGGTTGGCCAGAATTTGTTCTCTGGTTTCACGAAGGGCTGCAAAGGACAGAAGATGGAAATACTGTGGGATGTTCTGAGAGGTTTCTCTTGGGGGAAAGGAAGTTGCAGTGATATTCCCACAGCCTAACATAACATTAACCCAACAAATACTGAGAAGCTAAAAGCCAACACTGCATTATAGTCAAAAAAATCCAACTTTTGAGCCTTGTCCCTACCCAACTCAAAAAGACTGCAGAGCACCTTCCCCTCCAATAAGAATCAGAAAGGAAAGGAATACTGCATTGGGGGCCATCTCCCTGTTGCACGGTGGTAGAGAACATGCTGATCTACTTGCCAGGACTCCTTTCAGTTTTCCTCCACTGTGCTCTCTGGGGGCTCCTAGAACTGTGGTTGATACTCTGACTTCAGACTTCTGAAAGCCAGTCCTTTGTTCTACATTCCTTTTCATGACTGCATTTCATAAGTTGTCCCACATATGGTTTCTATAACAAGAAGACTGTAAGATCGGGCACCCCTCAAGGTAGGTGATGGCCTACGCACATGAGCACCGTCCCAGGGGGCACATTCAGCTTCAGAGGAGAACTTACGAGTGGGAATGCTGCCACCTCTCTGGAATATGGCCGATCCCAATGGGAGGATGTGACGCAGGTCAGGGAGTGTGGTGACATCTGAGACAGAGACACAGATGGAAGAAGGGTCAGAGCAATACACAGCCTTCTCCCCCAACACTCCACAACCATCGAGCTTCTGATGGAAACCCCTGGGGAGAAGGCGGTCTTTTTGTTTCAATTTGGGGGATAGAAATCTTTTATTATAAAATATTTTAAATATCAGAAAGTTATGGTAATAATATAATAAGCACATCCACCATCCAGCAAAGTCAAATTAACATTTTGTCACATTTGCTTCACCTTTAAAAATAATAAAACATAAGAGCCACAGCTGCCTGTGTATCATCCTCCTCCTCAGTGATAACCACTATCCCGAGTTTGATGTTTGCCATGCTTATCATATTTTTATAGTATTACTGAACATATTAATAAACAGCATATAGTATAATTTGGTACATTTAAAAACTTTGTATCATCCAATGAGGAGTATTTTCCACTTGATTTTGTCACTCAATATTGCATACTTTGACATGTCTATTGCCATTTTAAAAAGTAGCCTAAATCCTGAAAGAATCAGCAGTATCCACATGGAAAAGAGAAATAAATGACCATATCGTATGCCTCCGCTGCCTGTGAAACTCATATTTAGCAAGGTGCTTGCCTCCTGCTAGCCCCTGGCCCCTGCACTCTACCTTCAGCTAGGCAGTTTTAGAACTTTCCTTAGTGTCTGTCAGCACCTCAGACTTGTTCCCTGGCTTGTAGCCAGAAAAACGCAACCACAGTCTTCACGGTGTTCTCATTTCATGATCCTCCAGTTTAATGTCTGGACCTAATGAGAAACTTAGGACTCTGACCAGGTATAAAATTAACAGTTTTGGAAGAGGCAGGGTAATGCCTAATAATCCCTTGTCCAACATGGGCCAAATAACAATCCAGTTCTCAGAGGTAACTGCTCCAATAGAAGAACTTGTGTTTATATGGAGTTTGTAATTTATGCTATAATCTCGTCTTTCTTTTTTTTTTTTTCCTTTTTGTCTTTTTTCGTGACCGGCAACGGATCGCAACCCTCAGTGTCGCGCCCGTACCGGACCGGGACCGGCCACGGGATCGCAACCCTCGGTGTTGCTCCCGCACCTCGCTCAGCCAGTGAGCAGCCGGTCTGTATGTGGGATCCGAACCCTTGGCGGGAGCGCCGCCGCGCTTCCCAAGCGGCGCACTGCAGCAGTGCGCCACCAGGCCGGCCCTTTATGCTATAATCTCAATACAGTGCATCAAAAACCCTCAGTGTTGCGCCCGTACCGGACCGGGACCGGCAACGGGATCGCAACCCTCGGTGTTGCTCCCGCACCTCGCTCAGCCAGTGAGCAGCCGGTCTGTATGTGGGATCCGAACCCTTGGCGGGAGCGCCGCCGCGCTTCCCAAGCGGCGCACTGCAGCAGTGCGCCACCAGGCCGGCCCTTTATGCTATAATCTCAATACAGTGCATCAAAAGAGACAGAATAATAAAAATTCTCCAACTGGACGGCCTCCATGTCCTCTTTTGGCAATCAATTGAGTGCATGTGGCAGGTATAGTTCCCACAACCACATTGTATTTTAGTAACTGCTGTTAGGTTGTTCAAGACAATTTAAACTTCTAAGTAATGACTGCATCTTCTCAGAATTTTCTTATTCTAGGCAAGACTATCATCTTCAAAAGAGAGCTCAGGGGTTGCCGGCACAATGTCCAGACACTATTTTTTACTCTAAGGGACATTTAGAATAAAGGACCAGCACCTACACACCTTCAGTGGATTGACCCTAGGGTCGATGCGGCCTTCCTCAATGTCAGCGATTTCCTGCCGAATGCTGATCATGGCATCACAGAATCTGTCCAGCTCTGCCTTGTCTTCTGACTCAGTGGGCTCAACCATAAGGGTCCCCGCGACAGGCCAAGACATGGTAGGGGCGTGAAATCCTGCAAAGGGAAACAGAAGGACTTGACTCACTGACTTTTTGGCCTCTCTCATTTGGAAAAAAAGACCCTATCCCCTCTTATAATTTATCTAAGGAAACCATCAGACACATTTGCAAATATATGTATCGGGAATTCATCTCAGCACTGTTTATAAAAGAAAAACTTAGGAAACAACCTAATATCCAACAATAGGGAGTTGGTTAAGCAAATTTTACAGAACACCCATACAATATGCAGCCATTCAAAAGCATGTAAATTTGTTGAACTGGGTAAACACTCAAAAATATTAAGGAAAAAAAAGCAAGCTACATAATGATATTATTCCATTTTTGTAAAAAAATAAAAACAAGATAGAGTACCTACATACATGTATATTTGATGAGGGAAGATGCCTTGAAGAATATATACTAAAATGTTAACAGGGGTTATCAACAGAAAATGTGACTGGAATTTTTTTTTCACCTTGATTATGTTTTAGGATCTTTCTATAATGATCATGTATTACTTGCAATTAAGAGAAATAAAAATATTATAGCTTATCAAAAGTTAAATAATGAGGTGAAAAGCATTAAGGAGCCTGAGATAAATCTTATTATTGTCCCTGTTTCACAAATTTGGAAACAGGCTTGGCTAATATGTGGAAATCTTTTGTCTTTACAATGAACACAGGCTGAAGGTGTTTCTATGTTTCCAAAAGGTTTCACATGTGAAATAAATTGATATGTGGTTGAGATTTCCTGAACAAAAGCCAAAAACAACTTTTTCCCATTTCTTACACTTTTTCTGTGAAACTTAAAAGATGATGAACTATTCCCAGGTTGATAGACCTGTCAGTTAATCTTGCTGCAGAGTGCACTGGTTCCCAGATTCCGGTGTGCATCATGGGGTGCTTTAGAGCCATACCTGCATGCTGTTAGGGATTATCTCCCCAACATTTTATTATAAAAATTTTCAAACATGCAGATAAGTTGAAAGGATTATAGGTGAGCACCTATATACCCACCACCTAGATTCTACAATGATGTTGTTTGCTTTATCACATATCTGTTCATCTATCCACCCATCTTATTTTTTTGTGCATTTCAAAGTACACTGCAGTCACCAGTACACTTTACTCTTAAACACTTCAGCATGCATATCATTAACTATAATTTAATATCTCTTCACCTGTTTTTGTGACAAAACTTACATGAAATGCTCAAGTCTCAACTATACTACTTAATGAGTTTTGACCTGTGTTAACCACACCAGAAAGGGATTTTTTTTTTAAGAACAAGCTAATCTCCTTACCTATTAAGTCTGCCCTCAATTCCATGTGTGAGCAAATTCAATTCAACATATTCTGTTGTGGTTCCCATATCTGGAACCATCTGAGAAGCTGTTTTAGAAACACAGATTCTGCATCTGGGCTCTAATTCAGGAAGTCTAGGGAAGGGCCCGGAAATCTGAGTCTTAAAAACTCCCCAAGTGATTCTGATAATTAGCCCAATAATTAGTCTGGAAACCTCTGTGGTAAGGCAGTATGCTCCAAACTTGTCTAAGAAGACTTATTCCAGGGTGCTTGTTAAATACACAGATTACTAGGCCTCTTCCCTGAAAATTTGGATTCAGTAGCTGTGGTTAAAGACCTTGAACCTGTGTTGTCATTTTCATTGTTGTCTTTTACTTAGTTATCCATTGAATCTCTCATTTATCTCTCATTTATTAACACATACATGCTGAGTGCCTACTATGTGCCAGGTACCTAGACAACTCTGGGCTTTGGATAAGTGAAAATCATTCTATCGAACATCAAAATAATGTTGAGGTTGGGAGATAAAATATGACTTGGAAATACTGGTGGTAATTGACATTTACCACCTCCCTCCCTACCAATGCTGCTGCAGTTAGATGTGTGACATAGACAACACATCCAAGAACTGAAAGTCTTATCCTGAATCAGCCACCACTCAGTCATTAGCTGGGAAGTTGAATAAGGAGAAAGGAGTTTTACTGTCAGGTTATGGGAGCTGCCAAAAGGAGATTTTGAGAAGGTGATTGCTAATTTCATTAATGAAATCTTTCTCTGGCTTTCCCATGTATTTTCAGTGTACCATTTCATAGTAAGATCATTCAAGAGATAAGTGAGTCACACAGGTGGGACTCCCATTATGATGCAATAGTAAAACTATTAAATTTTTAAAATTTTCACTTTCCTTTTTAAAACAAGTCATTAAGATTCAGATAGGACTCCACATCCATTGAAAGGCACAGTACTCCCCAACTCAACCTTTCTGAAAGTTAAAGGATCCTTGATATTATTAATAATGTCACTAAGAAAGTGTATTTTAATAAGGACTGTGCTAAATGAACACCCAGTAATACACAGATAAAGGGCCCACGTCTTTCAAAATGCCTATTTCTTCATCTCTAGGAGCAGCGAAGCAGCTATTGCATGCCCCAGGGGCTTATAAAACTCCAGTGCACCGTCTCTAACACTTCCTCAGCTGATTGGCTCCACTCCCTTCACCATTACCCGGCTTACTTTATCATGCACTTCTCGGTTTACCAGGAGTGGGATAGGAGTAAGAATTTTCGGAAATACAGGCAAAGAGCAGCAATCATTTTCTTTGGGATTTAAAATTTTAACTATAAAGACTTCTTTTCTGGGCTGCTGATGGATTCAAGATGCATGTTCTAAGATCTTTCGAAGGTAGGACCAGAGCAGTCAATAAAAGAAAGTTTTTTTCTCTGTATTTTGAAGGTTGCTCCCCATTTACCCTGTGGATCAGCTTGCCTGGTACCTGCGTATTTCATTTGTGCTTAGAGGAAGTGGTCCACAGTCTGCCTGGGCAGATGCATGAATGTCAAAAGCCACTTACCATAATCCTGGAGCCTTTTGGCCACATCCACAGCCTCAATATTTGCAGACTTTTTGAAAGGTCTTGTGTCCAAAATAAATTCATGAGCCACAAAACCTGCTTAGAAAAATTGTTCCAGCTTAAGATTAGCATCAGCTTGTTGTTTCACCCAAACAAATGAACAAATAATTCACTTTTTATGCTTATCAGTGAGGACCAAGAAGCCATCAGCACTCAGTAAGTTTACAGTTGGCAATACAGACTTCATTTACTCTTATTACAAATAAAACTTTTTAGCACATCAGGCCAACGTGTCTGATCTTTAGTTCACTACACACCCATGAGCCTGCTTGTGGCTGATGAGAGGTGGGAGGCATTACTGGAACATTCCATGGGAGGTGTCTAGAAATGAGATTATGTCTACTCTAAGGATCAAAATCTACTTGCAACAGTTAAACATGTCATCATACTCCTGATCCTTTTATCCAAAATATTTCTAAAGCTAAAAGTCCATTGACGCTTTTCAGCAACTTTATCCTCAACATCAAATAACTTTCTTTTGTGCATACATGAGGTACTTCAAAATGTTCATGGAAAAATAGAATTGAAAGATAATATGAATCTTTCCATGAACTTTTTGAAGTACCCTCGTATAATAAATACATATAAAACATATATCATAAGACACACGCATAATTTTACAGGATTCTTCAAAGAAGCTTTTGAGGTCTGGGTTTCAGGTTGCAGCTGGAGAACCAGAACCCGGCATTGTTAATTAAACACCAGCACAAGTGGCGAGGAGCTCACGAGTAAAGCCTGTGTGGGTCACTTCACTCTGATCTACACTGAACAGACTGCTTCTCAAGGCCCAGGCAGCCATCTCCCCAGTGTGAGCTGTTGGTCACCCATTATCACCAAGAACAAACCACTGAGTCAGCATCTTGATAAACAGAACAACATTCCAGGGGCCTTTCCAAATTCCATAGTTCACCAACTGATGAATTTCCTTGGAGGAAAGTATCTACTCATGTGCCAATAATGGACTCCTTCTTAACCTGCTTTCCTGACTCTTAGCAAACAGTGAATCCACTTACACACAGAGCAGTCCTAACTTCTCAAGTCTGTGAAGAACAGCCCCAGTCATCACAGCCCTTGAAGACAGTCTGTGAACTGCTCTGCTTCTTATACAATGAATATGAAAGGACTGGTTTTGTTTGAAAATAAGAGTATGAGAGCCTGAGACTTTGAACACACTGAAACTGCATATTTTAAAAACATGCTTTCTAACAATGATGGAGAATAAATTTGTAAGGAGTGTGATTAAAAAGTAGAAACGACCCCACTTTGGAAGCCCAGCAGTAACCTTTGTGCTTTTTCTCTGAGCCTCTGGCCACCACTCTGAGTGCTGGGGCAATGACGAGAGGAAGAAGCTAATGGAAGCTCACTGGGCTGAAGGATGCTCAGACAGCAGGGGTGGGGGAAGGGGAGGGACACATGTCAGTGGGAGACGAGAGTCTTCCAAGCAGAGGCACCATCAAGCCAAGCCCAACCGAGTACTGCGAGTACCACAACTTCATCTGCAACTCCCCCACCACAGCCAAGTGGTTTGGGAAGAGCTCCATTTTCAAAATGAAGTTCAGATGTTATTTTCTAAATCCATACTCTACCATATTCAAATGGAAACTAGTGAAATTTCTGCACCTTTTTCTCTATACTTGAGCCCTTTCAGGGAAGAAATTTAAAGTCGGTGGCTATCAGAGGCCAGATCCCAAGATGTTCATCTTCGTTTGCAGCTTTTAGGAGAAAGATGTACAAACCTTCTATTACTTATGGTAAGTCAGGGCAATCTGAAGTAGAAATTTTATAAACTAATCAGGGCAAGTTCTAATCTTCACTGAGCAGGTGTTTCTGCTGGTCCTCACCATGACTACAGCTGAGAGTCCAAAAAGACAACAAGTCAGAGGAGCAGGAGGAGAGTCGGGGGATGGCAAGATGGAAAAGCAAAATAAGTGGCTTGGCTCTGAGTTGGAACCACCTCTGCCCATATGTGAATTGTCTTCTGAGGCTGAAAACAACATGGGAACATGCTATAGAAAATAGGGCTTCTCAAAGCCCTCCTTGAGAGCAAGCACTGGACCTTACTTATCCCATATCCTCAAGGACGCCTGGGAATATATGGACCTGACTAAATAATTATTCTGTAAAGCTCGGATGGGCGATTGGTGCTTGCTCAAGCTCTTCAGCTGCAACCCGGAAGCCATGACTAACAGAATCAACATTCCTGACTATTTTCCTGAAACAAGGTCAGGTAAGCAGGGCCCCCAGTCTCAGCAGGATCACTTCTGGGCCAGGATGAGAGGGCTCAGCCCCTGGGCACGTGCCCACCCATCATGCAAGGGCCACCTGGAAACACCTTCAGGGATAGGAATTTTCTGGCAGAGTGGGGTTTGTCTAAGGTAAAATAAAAATAAAAATAAATAGGCGCCCACCCATCATGCAAGGGCCACCTGGAAACACCTTCAGGGATAGGAATTTTCTGGCAGAGTTGGGTTTGTCTAAGGTAAAATAAAAATAAAAATAAATAGGCATATAAGAATTAAAACCTTGGGATACTACTCCTATTGATGGGAACTCCATTCAGATCAAAAAGTGAGCTTAGCCTCCTGCAAGAGTAGACACCTGTGAATTTTTAAAATTCTTCCTTAAAAAATGTATCATCTTATCTGAGATTATGCCTTTCTTTTCCCATCCCAGCAGAATACATACTACTGCTGCTCCCCCTCCCAATTCTTGCCTGTCACTTCTTAGCTTCACAAAACCATAAGCCTTGACAGTTTAGCTGGTATTCAAGTCTCTCAAAGAGATGGTCCGTAAAAGCAAGTCTGGAGTTCATTAAAATAATTGTCTCATAGTCATCTGTACTTCCAAAGTCTTATTTAGATCTGGTAAATATGATTAAGATGAATGACAGTCTTCTAATATTGCCATTAGACATGTTGGAATACAACATGCCTATTAAAAACATTTCTATTTTGGGGGCTCAGGAGGTACAGTGGTGATTCTTTTTTAGGACCTAAAATACTAAGTCAAATTGTGTAATGAATGTGTTTACCAGACAAAACATTACACAATTTTTGGTTTCATGAACTTTGGAATTGGGTAATAAAGTCTGTAATCATCAACCTATTTCTGCTTGGGATGAGAAATACTATTCATGATTTAATTCTGGGGTAAAACGTCAAAACAAATGGAAATTTCATCCATCTTTTTGTGTTGCAAATCCCCGAAAATCGGGACAGTCTCTGCTTAAAGCAGTCACTTAAATGCTAAGCACATGAGGTTCCTTTCCCTCTCTCCTGGGGTGCCACCCACCTCCCTTTGTTTAAATCACATTCAGCCCTACTTTAAAAAACTAAACTTTGCATCACACAACTCTGTGAACATACTAAAAATGACTAAATTGTACACTTTAAATGGGTGAATTGTATAGTATGGTATATGAATTCTATCTCAAAGTTGTCAAACGTGAAGAAGTTTAAAATATAAAGAAATAAGCAATTAGGAAAAAAATCTAAGCCTTATAAATTAAAACAAGAAGACCATTTCTCATGCATCAAATTGGCAAAGATATTTTGTTTTGTTTTGTTGTGTTTGAGTGTGGTACTCACTCCTCACTAGGCACAGGTGCTACAGTCATCCTCATAAGCTATTACTGTGAAATAAATTGGCACAAAGTCCTTGGGAAAAAATTAAGGCCCATACGTATCAATAACTTAAATGCATTCATGTCCTCTGAGATAACTTCTCCTCTACAACTCTAACCTAGGGAAATAATCAGAAATGTTTTTTTTAAAAAATCTAAAGGAAACCAGAGTGACCTGCTGCCTTGCCAGGAGTAGCACTCTCTTCCAACGCCACAGACACCAGTGTTGAACAAGTGGTCTGTGTCAGATACCGCCATAGCAACTGCCACTGCAAGCGTGGCTCACTGACACACCAACAGCCATTGCTGCCTCATAAGCAGTCTGCTGGCCACTCATTAGCATAGAAAGAAGGAAAGTCACCAGTGGAACCCAGGGAAAGAGGTAAGTGAGCACAGACCTGGGACCCAGTGGCCCAACCCATAGGGAGAATTATGCTGCCTTACATGGTAGCACAAATGCTGGGGAGAAGTACATGTGCAGCCCACAGGACTGTGCTCACCTGGTGAGAGGCACACACAGAACTCCCCAAGAATACAGAAACCCAGGACAATCAAATAGAGCAAGGAAGAAAATTCCCTATCACCACCAACCCATCACCCATTGGGGGAAGCAAGGTCCCAGGAGGAACCTCTGTCTATAGGAAAGAAGAAAAAGAAAACCTTTCCAGGGTTACTCATTCAAATCAAAGAGCACCAATATACCCCAGTGCACCTCTCAAGGTCAGGGGGAGCTAGCCAGGATGCCAACAGGCCTGCCCATGGTTACCCACCATAGCCAAAAAGTGACAGGGCTCTGAGGCACTTCCCCCAAGAATTTGAGAGCTTGCCCATGTCTTGGTGAACCAACATAGCATCACCAACCTCAGCAAGGAATTACTAAGTGCCCCAGGAACTAGGCCATGGAGGCACTCACACATAATTCCAACACTGAGTTTGGCCAAAGTACCTACATGGAGACTGCACTACAGCATCCACCTGGAATCAAGACTAAAACACCCCATTCAAAAGTCATTATAAAACACATGTACAGGAGGAACTTTCTCTCCTCAAAGCTCACTCCAGACTACCAGAATAAGCAACTGCTCTACCAGATGAATACATACCAACAGAGATACTAGAAATATGAAAAAGCAAGAAAATATGACACCAAAGGAATATAATAATTCTCAAGTACCAGACCCAATAGGGCAAGAAGTCCTTGAAATGACTGAAAAGGAATTTCGAGCAACAATCTTTTTTTTTTTTTTGTCTTTTTTCCATGTCCGGCAACGGATCGCAACCCTCAGTGTCGCCCCCGTACCGGACCGGGACCGGCAACGGGATCGCAGCCCTCGGTGTTGCTCCCGCGCCTCGTTCAGCCAGTGAGCGGGAACCGGTCTGTATGTGGGATCCGAACCCTCAGCGGGAGCGCTGC